ATAGTATATTTCAAATAAAATTGTTCAAATCAATATTTGTTCACAAAATGTGACAATGGTGGTGTCTTACGCACACTATTCAACGGTCTTTTCCGAATGATGTTTTAATGTAATTTTCCCCCGTTGTCAAGCGTGTATCATGTATTTATGCGACGTTTAGTACATTTTTCGAATTCAGAATTATTTGTTCACCATTTGAGATATTTTCCTCCTTATATATTATTAACGATAAATTCGAAGTTTACCGTTGGCCAGTTTTTTTAAAATTATTTTCAGCCCAAAATCAATCATCCATAAGACCATCATAAATCTGTTAATCGCGAATTCGTTGGTCTCTTTCTCCCTCAATAGAATAATATTCGAATTCTTTTGGATTTCTATAATAGCTTAGTCCCTCGAATTCCGAATTTTCGATAGTGTACTATAGCTATAGTATTCGTGCTACTCGTGGATAAAATGGGTTATTCATTTTTTGCGGCCAGAGTGCGGCATATGTTTTAAACACAACTCACGCGATCCGGAAGTCGTAATTATAGAAATCCTAATATTATACTTAACTATATACAATATATAGACGTAAAAACTTAAATATAACGTTTTAGACGTGAGTTTTTTTTTTTCGTATCGTCTAAAATATTGCATTTAAATAGATACCTTAACGGCTCTTCGGTATCTTTTACGCAGGCATTGTTACATTTATGACGAATAGAACGAAGGAAGAAAACTATTAGTTTCGTAATTATTACGTGTAGCTGTTTTTTCGCGAACATCCCATTTCAGAATAGGAAAAATTTTCATCCGGTGACTTTTAAACGACACACGTAATACGTGGCTGAACCAAATTTTTTAGCATTATTGTTCGAAAAAAAAAAAACTAAAAACTTCGAATTTCGAGTTCAAGAAGAACACAAAATGTTTCTGAAAAATACGACGTAAACATAAGCACATAAAATTTCACGGCGCCACGATTATTTCTTACTGCAGATTGCAGAAAAAACAAATCAAAATTCTATTTTGACATAAACCGACGACGTTGCGTAAATATTCCAGTTTTTCTGTTGGTTTTTCCCTTTTATTAGGAAAAGTATCATAAATTCTGAAATATGGCCCACTGACAATATAGATTACGAAATACTATAAGAGAGTACCTTTGAAGTTTTCGACTGTAACGCAGTTAAAATTTACATAATGTAATATATTTATGAAAATAGTACAATAGCTCTTCTAGTCACTACACATTTTATTCATACACCAAAGTTTCATACATCATAGGAATATTCCACCGAACCGACGTAAGTAAAACATAACTAAACAAAACATTGCCGAAATTCTAAAATGTTTGACTTGAATGGAATATAACTTCAGTGGATGTTTTCGGTTATGGTCGCAAACAACTCACAGAAGCACAAAAGTTTAGAAACAGTCGTACTTAGTATACTTACCTTGTAGAGTTATATGTGAATTTTATTTTCGTTGATTTTCAGTTTTTTCACAATCTTCGAAAATGTTTTCGTCCATCTTTACAATGCTATAACATAATATACTCTCTGTTCAAAATCAAAAAAAATCGTGATTTTTATAAATTATAAATTGTGATTAATGTGGGAATTACCTATTAACCTTTTGACCTTCAACAAATTATACAAATGACACGAAATAATTTATTTTTTTTTACACTGTTACTTTTTTTATTCTTGGTATCAATTTATTTAAGTCATAATTATTTAAAATGTAGCCAACAAATTATATTAGGTATACTAGTTTTAATAAAATGTGTTTTCGTATCCTAAAGAATTTTTTCTTTTTTGGTGAGTAAAATGAACCAATTTATTGACGCAGTACTTTAAAAAATATAGATTTTTTGCCACGGTGGTATTTTATTTTAAAATTTTCATACATTTAAAATACTCACAATGAATTACGATATTCACATAAGTTTGATATTTGTTGATTTTTTTAATTACCTATACATTGGTACAAGAAGAAAACATACGACTGATACTAAAATATAGGTACGATGTGCAGTTTACCATTTTTCCCTTCAGAATAGTTTTTTGATTGCAATGATGTAATGTTGCTTTCATTATAATGTGTATAAACTTAATTACTTTATATGCAATATATATAGGTAGTACTTACATTCCCAACTTCTCATCTATAATAATAGTAGCCCCCCACCCAAGGTGTGAAATATATCCAGCTTTTAAAAAATTGTATTTCCCGCATTTGAATTTATATTTATAATATTTATTGGAATAAATATTTTACTTTATCAAATTTTTTCTTAGACAATAAAAAATGTTGTTTAAAACACGGCGCTCCCGTGTATTACAATTTTGTTGTTTCGACGATATGATTAAAATGTCAAATAAAAACCCGCAGTTTTATTTCTCAATAAAATTGGTCAAGCATAATAATAATAATTTATGTACAATTCTACTTGTCGTCTTAAAGTATCAAACGAGTTTGTAGTAAAAAAAAAAAATAATAATAATAATAATAATAACAACCGTTTTTTTTTTTTTTAGATATAACACACAATAAAGAATTTTATGGCCAAAAAAACATAATAAAACTTCGTAATATTAAAAAGAAAAGAAAACGCTGCTACAATAATAAACGACCATATACCTAACATATATTGCAAACAATTTGATGACACGGAAAAAAAAAGTTCATAAATGTTTACAATATTTACAATGGCGTTATTTTATTAATACGGCTATACTATACCTTGTTGTTACTGTTAGTACGCGTATTGAATAAATAAAAAAGAAATATTAGGTGCCTTATTTCGTTACCGAGTTAACAGTGGTACAGTAGTACGCTACTATATATACATATATATAGTAAAATAAACACAAACTTGATGCTTGATCAAACTGTTTTAATTCAACCGAACTCCGCTTTGCAGAATCGCTTTTCGTTTGCGATGATTTGTATCGTTGCATAATAGTGCCGAGTCAGTTTTTAAACAGTCTAGTCGATAATTATCGTTTTTTTTTTTACCGTCTACACATCTACCGACTATCGGTAAGATAGCGGAGAGGGCGTTGTTTTTCAAACCACCATCCCCTCCCCCCTCACATACATTAATTTTATTTATCGAAATTTCGCGCTCTATTGAAAGTTTTATTTGTTTTACTCATTTCGCCATTTTTATTACATATGCCTTTATAGAATCGATTTTATTATTATTTTTTTTTTTATTTATTTATGCCACAAGGGTGGGCTGACTCAATAGTGGTGATGCGGCGTTCGCCCACTGGACCTTTCCATATTGAGTCCACTGTTTTCAGTTCGAGCTGAGGAAATAAAAAAAAATTGTAAAACAACGTTAAACGTAATATGTACAGTATAATAGGTGTGTACAATATTTATTATTGCTTGCAGGGTGCAGTTTGATAAACAATATATTCATATAGTATAGTATATAGGTACGATATCAGTATTTTTTAACACATATTTCCGTTAACGTTCCCGTGAACCATCATAAAATTTAATTCATTAATTATAATCGAATTCGGTTCAAATGTTGAGACGATAATCGTCACAATAATATCCTAGTACTGGGGCATCTCAATGTCTGCCAGGTCAGTTAATATTCAATGATTTAAAACGGACCGCCGGACCCGAACATACGGTGTCGGTGCAGCCCCGATTTATGCTGCCCCACCACGGCGACACGGAATAACGAAATTAAAAAATTATTACTAATTATAGTAAATAAATATGTATAAATAAAAATAAAATAAATAAATGAATTCATGCGTCGCCTGGAGTATTACCAGTCGCGTTTTGCATTTTGACTCTGATATACCCGATGATGAATTTTTAATTCGAAACCGGTCGTATTAAACACTTGTAATACTCCAGGCGACGCATTCATTCATTTATTTATTTTATTTTTATGTATACATTTTTTATTTATATATTTATTTACGAGCATTAACCATTTTTAATAATTTTGTTTTTACTTTATTATTTTATTAATTATTACTAGTTAATAAATTTTCAGATAGTCACTGGCAAAGACGTATACCCTTTTAAAAAAAAAAACCAAATTATTCGGAGACGACGGTTAACAGCGATACGGACGGCAGTGGAAACTGGGAGTCACGGGGAAATACGGGGAGACGTGTTTTAATTTTAATTTTTTTTTTCTCCGATTGTATACAGTGGCACGGGTTAAGCCGCGCGGGACAGCTATACAGTTACAATACATAACGCGATATAATGGTATTCGTTCTCCGGCCGTTCGCAATAATAACCCTTTGCAGCCTCCCGCGAAGTCTTAATGACCGAAAAACTGGGTATTATGTTTTTATACATTCACCGTCTACATAGCTAATATAGCTACCAACCTGCAATTTGTCAAGGGATATAAGAAATATTGATACCTCTATATACACTGGTTCGTGACGGGAGGGGGGAAATAAACGCGTATACGTATAGGCAATAAATAATAACATCTCACTTAAATTGTTTTTTTTTTTTCAACCCCTTTGCGAAAACGATTCATAATCGATTTTTGAACATTTTATACGCGTACAATATTATACACGCCTAGTGTGGTACCTGTGTATAGTACACACGACGCAATTATTATTTATTATTATTACCCATTTTTTTTTTCTACTCGTAAGACTCGCCGATGATGATATTCTATATACTGGGGAGGCAGGGTTGGAAAAACGGTTATTATCATTATTTTTTTTAATTCGCGCACAGTCTGCAGAAAGGCAGACATCATTCGCCGTGCAATTGAAATCGAAATATTAATATACTTTTATACAAAATTAAAATAAATAAATAATAACAAACACGTTTTTATAATATGCGACGACGGACACTATACTAAACGACTCTTAATCATATTATTACAGCGACATACCCGACACATTGATTCAAAAACACCCTGGGTAGGTATAAATTATTATACGAATAACCTATTGTATTTTTCCTTATATTTTTCGTGTTTTTTTTTTTTTTATGAGAACCTCGTCGTCTACTACCTGTTTTGGCCGTTCCTCCTTGTATTATACCTATATTGTACACCTAAATGCGCGTCTTTTTATTTTTATGCTGTGTGGGAACACGTTGACCCTTGGATGCGAGAGAATCACTGCGGTGTTGCAGGGACGAAAGATCCCATCGTATAATATGTATAGTGTATACACTATACATATTTATATTCAGTTTTCTATATTTTATATACCTATGTATTATTTGTGTGTTATTTGCTTCTCTTGTTTCTATTTTCTGAAAAAAATGTGACCTTTCACGAAAATATAGGTACTATAATAGTACAATAATTCGAAGGTTAGAGTATGCGTTGAATGAATGTATATAGTAAATAAAATGCTGTTCGTTTTGGACCACATATCCGGTGAACTATACTGAGTATGTGTGAAAAATACACTGGAGGGGAAACCATAAACGTCAAATGTCTAATTAGAAATTAGTCGGTCACCTGTTTGGAAAGTCAGCTGTTGAAACAAAATCATAAACGGAAAAAAACGGTTTATAAAACGAATTCTATTATTTTTTTACTACATATTGTCAAAATACTAAACTTTTTGCCGCATTTTTGTCATAATTTATTAGGTGCAGTTATTATTTAAATTTGCTTGTTCAATTTTTACATATTCTCTTCAGATTTATGCGATGATATTACTACCACTCTATTTTTTTTGTCTTCGTGTTATCGTATTAACAATATAGGTACTCATATTTTCATTATGCAAAATAGCAAGTACTTATTACGTACTTGAGGTACGTATTATTATAATACGACGTTTTAATATTTTCAAAATTTTTTTTTTATAATATACATTATTATACATTTTATTAAAATATAAATTTGTCCTAAATTCTATGAAAATATCTCTTATGAATGGTATCTTTAGGTTAGGTGTTTATGGAGTTATACATATAGAAATTATTGATTTTCATTTTTATTTGGGGAACGAAAATGTTCGCATGTGTTAGGAATGAATTCCTTTCTTCAATCTTTTATATTGAAATATTTTACCTAATTTATTTCATCATTTGGTATTGAGAAATGTATCGTTTTTAATGTGTATTTTTTTTTCTTTTTTGTATACATTTTTCATCCAATTAAAAAAAAACCAAAACAAGAGAACTTTAGTAGCATTTTGGATATAGTTGGTGCATTGGGAATGACACTTTTTGATTATTCGGGTAATTTTCATAATGATTATTGAGAATAACCGGGACAGTTTATCGATTATTTCTGTTATTATCGTTTTTTTTTTTTTTTTAATTCGGTTAAAAATAATAATTGTACCTAGAGGCCTGAACATTTCACTTATACTTTTACTTATATTAGCGTTTTCGTTTTTGATTCACGAATTTAAAATAGTATACTGCCGAATCATCGCTCGCGGTTCGTCCGTCACGCGTTATTACACCCAAATTAACGGCTCTAGAAATCGTTGAAATTTTCCCCGGGGAACGTAATCAATATTTTTCCTTTGGTTTTTGTAACCAATATAATAATTATACCGATAATATACTCAATAGGTCGCCTGTAAATTACGCTCGTCGTACTTAGATTTTGGAATCGTTTGTCGGTATCACCTCGGACCACCTTGTCTCGCAGAAAACCGCTGACCAACACCTTTGCGGTATACCTGTACACATATAGTTGGCCGCGGGGATCATTAGCGGTTTCGCACAAAAGGATTCGGAAGCGCCGGGGCCCGTGTGCAAGAGGAACACAAAAAGACCGCCAAAAATCAATCTCTTTTGCTAGTAGGTACCACGTGTCCATTATTTACACCGACGCGTCGACGGCTCCTCGTATTATTGTTCCGCCGCTGCCGCCACCGTTGGTTTGGTCCTCGGTCAAATATTGAAACAACCGCCGGCCGCTAATCATTGTAGGTGGCGATTTTATTGGTGTTAATTTTACTTTTCAAATAAAAAAAAAACCATATTAAACACGTATGAAATACAGATGGCACTAACAATATGATATATTAGGTCGTATTATATTATGTACTTACAACTCGAACGATGGTCGTATTTCGTTTCTGTAATACGTTAACTGTTTATTTGAGTACGTGTTATTTTAGATGATTGAACGGAGCGAGGATTGTGTATTTTCTTTTACTATGATGTGTGCGATTTTTTTTTTTCTGTCTGTAAACGACCTTGTCTACCTGCAGAAGCTTTGCTCTAATCGAAAAATTACAAGAGACCTTTTTCTATTTCGCTTTGGATTTAGTCGGTTTTCATAATATTGACGAAACCCCGGTGAAAAATAACTTAGATATAGGAAAACCGGATAAATATTTACGCGCGTGGTATCATTGATACCATATCGTTAATGTTTTCATTATTTTAAATGTTAACGACTTTTGTTGTAAATCGGTTTGAAATAATCGTAGAGACCTAACATTCTGCCAGAATATTTACAGTAGCCTTTTCCAAACGTGGTAAAATATTCAAACGTTTTGGCTATTTTTGAACTATTTATGGGTATTTGAAAAAAAATCAAAAAATGTTTACACATACGTATTGTTGATTTTGTCGACTTTGAAACCGAACAAACGTCGAATTCCCGACTCGGTATATACGGTTTAAATGTTCAATTCTGTGATAAGACTCTCGCTTCTGTCTCCGGTCCTATTTTCACTGCAGTAGTTATGTCGGACGGATACGAGTTATTAGTTCCCAATTACCGAATTAGTCCCGATGAGCTTTCATAACGGTAATAATATTGCCTATGTTTGTTAAATTAATTTGATTAAAATTTTTTTTTTTTTTTT